ATTCAGCTCTGTGAGCTGTTTGCTGGCTTGGGTCTAGAGCGCAGCAAACACGACTACGGTGTGTTTTTCGCCTTTGTTTCTAAGGTCATCATCATCATTGTTGTCCACGTCGACGACTGCACGCTCATCACCAACACGACGGCCACCATGACTGATCTGAAGCGGGAGCTCGCCGCACGATTTGAGATCGTGGACCTGGGCGAGGCGCACTGGCTTCTAGGCTTTGAGATTCGCCGCGACCGCGCTGCCCACACTATCTCGCTCTCGCAAGCTGCGTATATCGACACTATACTCGATCGCTTCGGCATGACCGACGCCTACGCACTCACGGTCCCGATGGACCCCCACATTAACCTCTTCGGTATCGAGCTCTCGGACGAAGATCGCGCGCACATGGCTCGCAAGCCGTATGCAAGGCTCGTCGGGAGCCTTATGTACGCCGCTATCGGCACACGTCCCGACATCGCGTTCGCCACTTCGACACTGGCGCGCTTCATGGCTGACCCAGCGCCCGCGCATTGGGAAGCCGCAAAACGCATGCTGCGCTATCTTAAAGGCACACGCGACCTGGCCTTGACATTCGGTGCGACAACCGACGGTCTTATAGGTTACACTGACGCCGACTGGGCCTCGCAAGCCCACCGTCACTCGATCTTGGCGTACAGCTTCCTCTACTCTGGGGGAGCTGTCAGCTGGTCTTCGCGCAAGCAGCCCCTTACCGCGCTGTCTTCCACGGAGGCCGAATACATTGCCGCATCTGACGCGTCGCGCGAGCTGTTGTGGCTACGTGCGCTTCTCGCGGAACTCACCTTGCCTCTGGCGGAACCGACACCGTTACACGCCGACAATCAGAGCGCAATCGCGATCGCGCAGAGTGGACTCCTTCATGCGCGAACGAAGCATATCGACATTCGCTACCATTTCATTCGCGAGGTTATCGATATGGAACGCGCTGTCATCTTGTATTGCCTGACCAACGACATGGTCGCCGACCTTCTTACCAAGGCGTTGACCCGCCAGAAGGTGGAGAAGTTCGCCGGAATGCTTGGACTTCGCCTGGCTTGAGGGGGAGTGTTGGAATATCAAGCCTAGCTATACTTAAGTATGGACTTATCAGTTGGTATTTCCTTTTATGTACTTATCGGGCATTAGCGCCCGTAAGACTTTTCACCCGCTTCGCTCGTTCTGCAGGCTTCAGTCCTTCTATCATCAAGGAGCTGAAGCCTGTGAGTACCGATACTGTCCTGCATGAATGCAGCGTACATACTAATGTATCGTAGTTGACTCTAGGTACATACTACTAATAGAGTCCTTCTATCATCAAGGAGCTGAAGCCTTTGACTCTAGCGTGTGTCCTCCCGTCCACTCCTTTTCCATCCGTTTACAGCTCGAGCACGACAGTGCGAACAGGTATGGTGACATGATGGCCGCCGATACACTCTCCCCAGCGTGCTTGTCAAATGATGTTTCATAGAGAGTATTATCGCTCGATCCGTTCTTTGGCAAGGAGAAACGTTGGATATCGACTTGACTTCCAATTGCAGGATGCGCACCGAGGAATCGAAACCTCCACTCGTTCATGCAGAATCGTCGCAGCGGTCCGTGAAAATCCCTCACGCTCACCGAGCAAAAATATCCCGACCACATGCTTGCTTCGACTCGGACTCCCACTGGTCAGTGCAATGGAGGAGAAAGGGGTTTTCGGGCGGTCATCACTCGTGACCGGGACACCGTACGCACAGACAACGTAAAAGCTTAAGAGCGTCCGAGGTAAAGAGCGACGAGCAACAGTCGTTCCCAAGGATGCTGCACTTGAGCTTGTTGACGGTTCTTGCCAGTGCGCTCGCGGTTGTGGCCCCCGCCAGTGCCCAAGGACCCTACCCCGGCCAAATCAAAAACCTGGTGACATTTGGTGATTCCTACAGCGATGTCGTGAGCGCGCCCTCTCCAGTATAGATCAAGAAACCCGAAGTGACCTTGTGGCATGCGCTTTCCGCATAGAACACCCCAGGCGACAACGCCACAGCATGGCCAGTGTATGCAGCCATGTACGGGAACTTCACGCTCTACCCGTTCGCAAAGTCCGGCGCGACGTGCTCGAACTACCTGACCTACCGGCCGTACCCACCGGTCTTCGAGTATCAGCTCCCGCTATACTTCACGGAGAAATTCAATGGCTCGCTGGAGCCCGATCCGACGTCGACGATGTATATGCTGTGGATCGGCACGAACGACGTGGGCGCGAACGCGCTCTTGACCGGCAGCCAAACTCCGGGAGTCACTTTGGTCGATACAATCTCTTGCGCCGTGGACTGGGTGAGGGTTCTGTATACGAGTGGCGCGAGGAACTTCATCTTCCAGAACGTGCGTGGAATTGCACTGCGATCCGGCACGGCGTTGACAGAGTAAACAGATGCTGCCTCTGCAAGACACGATCTTGTACTCGGCCAATTCATACCCTAACCGGTATTGGACCGAAGACAGGAACACGACGGAGTGGAACGTCTTCATGACCGAGCTCACGAACACCGGCAACGCCCTATCCAGGCTGATGCTGCAAGCCCTTGCGCCGACTCTGGAGGGAGCGCACCTTGGTGAGGACTTATCTTCGAGTTTCTCACCAGATTAACGCTGAAGCGTCTTCAGGTATCTTCGACTCATACGGGCTGATCTCGGATATCCGAGCTTTCCCGCAGAACTATTTGAATGGCACAGCACCCTTGAACGTTACAGGATGCATCAACTCTTGCATCTACCAGCTCAACGAAAGCACGTCGGATACGGCAGACTGCACGGTTGCTGAGGGCACCGCACGCGACAGCTTCCTGTGGTACGTTGACCTGAACGGAAGGGCCGCCTTTTGCTCATGTTTGCTGTGCAGGTATGATGAACTGCACCCGTCTGAACAGACGGACAGGGTGATTGCGAGGGAGCTTGCCGCCGCGATTGTGAGGAACTCTTCGAGCTGGATCACATGGCTGACTTGAGCTGGGGGAGGGAAGAAAGTCTTGTGCCGATCGGCAGAAGGAACATTGAGTCGTTCTTGGATAGCCGTAGGAACACTGGGACGAACATCATTTCAGTAGGCACCGCATTGGAGACACCTAGGATTAAGACTTGGAGTCAATGAACGACAGGCAGCTCAAGAGATACAGATAGACTGGAGATCTCGTTCGCCACTGATGTCGCCATTAGAAGGATCCCGTGAAGCGGAGGTTATGCCGGCATTGCAGCTTCGGATACAAGAATAGTGGCCTTCCTGTTCTCAGAGTGTATAAGCACTATACATATACGGACCGAGAAACATCAGCAGCCGTCGAGGACACCCACGCCATTCCACTGTGTTGAGCAGCGTGATCTGCAGGATTGTGCCCATTGCACCGAAAACGCGTGTTATGTATATCGAAGTGCATCCGAGCTGTGAGAAACTGTCCATGGGCATTGGGCATCCGCTCCGTATCACCATAAAACATTGGAAGCAACTGGTCAAAGAAAACGGGAGCGAAGATGTCCTTCGTCAAGGTCCTCGCGACATTTGTATTCTCCTGGGCCTTTGTGCAGCACAGCAGCGCCCAAGGACCATACCCTGGACAGATCAAGAATCTCGTAACGTTTGGCGACTCCTACTCAGACGTCGTAAGCACAGCAGCTCGTGAGATAGGGGGATGAGATGCTCATTGTTCACCGGATCTCGAGCGCAGGTGAATACCGGAGACAACGCCACCGCGTGGCCTGTCTATGCGGCGATGTACGGCGGCTTCACACTGTATCCGTACGCGAAGGCGGGTGCGACTTGCTCGAATTACCTCACTCCACGGCTGTTCCCATCGGTCTTCGAGGACGAGCTGCCGCTATACTTCACGCAGAAAGAGAACGGCTCGTTAGAGCTTGATCCGACGTCCACAATGTACACGCTCTGGATCGGGACGAACGATGTCGGTGTGGGAGAGCTCATCACAGGACAGCAGACAGCGGGAGTTACGCTTGTGAACACCGTTTCCTGCGCGGTCGAATGGGTAAACGTCCTGTATCTGAGCGGCGCCAGGAACTTCGTCTTCCAGAACGTAAGTTGCTCAGTTCCATCAATAGCTCAATCGTTTCGTGACGTGCTGGTTGCTGCACAGATGTTGCCTCTGCAAGATACGATCCTGTATTCGGCCAACTCGTACCCGAACAGATACTGGACAGAGCAGCGTAACACCACTGAATGGAACGTTTTCATGACGGAGATGACCAACACAGGCAACGCCCTATCGCGCGCGATGCTGACGGCCTTGGCGCCAACGCTTGAAGGCGCACATCTCGGTATGCGGATCTTTGCTGATCATACGGAGAGCTGATTGTCGTTCCAATATGAAGGTATCTTCGACTCGTACGGCTTGGTATCGGATATCCGAGCATTCCCGCAGAACTATCTAAATGGGAGCGTACCGTACAACGTGACAGGGTGCATCAACTCGTGCGTTTTCCAGCTCAACGAGAGCACGTCGGGTACGCCAGACTGTACGGTTGCCGAGGGCACTGCGCGGGACAGTTTCCTGTGGTATGCGACATTCTCGGAGCAGACGAAAGCATTGCTGATCGCATTGACGTCGTAGGTACGACGAGTTGCATCCGTCTGAACAGACCGATAGGGTTATCGCACGAGAGCTGGCGGCGGCGATCGTCAGGAACTCGTCCCAGTGGATTACGTGGCTCATCTAAGAGACCAATGGATGTAATCTGTGCCAAATATACTGTCAGATTGAGAAGGTGGATAATGTAAAGTGACTGGCAGACGATAGACTGCAGCACATGTCGTAGGCACGACGAGTTGCGTCCATCTGGATAGACCGATAGAATTATCGCAAGAGAGCTGGCAGTGGCGGTTGTCAGGAACTCGTCCCAATGGATTACATGGCTCATCTAAGAGATCCATGGATGTGATCTGTGCTAAATATGACTGTCAGATCGTGAAGATGGACAAAGTAAATTGACTGGCAGACAATAGATTGCAGCACATGTCGTAGATACGACGAGTTACATTCATCTGAACAGACTGATAGAGTTATCGCACGAGAGCTGGCGGCGGCGATAGTCAGGAACTCGTCCCAGTGGATTACATGGATCATCTAAGAGACCGATAGACATCGTCTGTGCTAAATGTGACTGTCAGATTGAAGAAATGGATAAAGGGAAATGGCTGGCAGATAACAGATTGCAGCGCATCGATCCCGCATTGACATTCAATATTCATGCCTTGAGTCGCCAATGGGGGCCCGGAATGACTTCTTAAGATGATACATAGTGATAGTGGTCACAACAGCTTAAATAGATTCCTCAGATAGACGAGCGGCATCGGTGAGCAGTAATGCAGCGAGGGAATAGAGCAGAATCCGTCTAGAGGCGGAGGAAGATAAGCACGAAAGAGAGAATAGGCCGCAAGCGCCACGTTGCTCACCATGTGACACCATGTAACGTGTTTGTGACGGGACGCGTCTACTGCCACAGCACGTTCACCTGCCTGGCCACCCACCTCATTTTTCTCTTCAAGGTCTCCTCCCTCACCCCCTCTTCGCTCGCTCAACATACAACATCTTGCGCGTTCAAAAATACCATGTCTATCGTCACCATCCGTGTAAGCACCCGCCGATCACCGCTCATCTCGCACAGCTGAATGTGTCCCAGAACGTAGAGTTCCTCAACAACCCTGCTCGTTTTTTGGATCCATACCGCTTCCGCGTCACATTTGAGTGCATAGCGTCACTTCCAGAAGGTCAGTAGCATCTTAGACTCACACCGACAGCCATGAATGGTCGCTGACCATGACTGCACTCGACCGTGTCTCTCTCGAATCCCGACGCGCAGACCTTGAATGGCGCCTGATCTACGTCTCCTCTCCGGGTAATGAAGAACTCGACCAGGAGCTCGACGACTGCCTCGTCGGACCCGTTCCCGTCGGCGTGAACGCGTTCGACTTCGAGGGCTCCGCGCCGAACCCGTCCAAGATTCCGCCCGAGGACGTGCTCGGCGTGGCCGCGCTCATCTTAACGGGCTCGTACAAGGAGCAAGAGTTCGTCCGCGTAGGATACTACCAGAACACGGAGTACGACAACGAGGAGATGAAGGAGCAGATGCCGGATCCGATTCGGTTTGATAGGCTAGTAAGGGACATCAACTCCAAGCCGCGGGTGACGAGGTTCCAGATAAAATGGTGCGTGCCTCGCGCTTTGCTTGGTGTGGTCGGTCGGCTGAGAGCCGTTGTCGTTAATGTAGGGACATTGTGCAGCAACAACCAGGACAAGCGGTGTCAGTAGGCGCCGCGACGTCTGCCGCGGTGCCCTCAGCGAACGATCTCGACGTCGATATGGACGCAGAGCCCAACGTTGCTAATGGATCGGCATCATGACACATCACCAGTACCCATCACGCCGCTCACGATGCCTATGGATTGACAAAGGAAAGATATCGATATCGATAGGCTATATACCACGCTTCCGTGCTATTTAACTGCTTCATCCTGTTGAGGCTTACTGGTTATACGTCGTACTACACTGTAATGCACCCTTGCTTTGACTTAGCAGCTATGCATACGTGCTGCCGATGGGAACAATTCTGCGACGTTATATCGCGGTTCACTCAATTGCCTGTTGGAAGGTAAGCTCACCGGTTCTGTTCTTGCGCAACTGTTCTCTTCGATACGTGGGCAGGCGCTTCGATACGAGGGCAGGTGCTTCACTACATCAGCATAGACACACCTATATTGTAACGAGAATGAGGAGTTCACAATACGCGGCAAGATCCAGGCTCGAAACAATACCAGCGGACGAGTGATGTGGGCATTGCACAAATCCATCAGGCTGCCATGAGACAGTTTTGCGAGCATTTCAAGGTATGTGCAATGAACTTATACAGCAAAAAATGGATATAAACACGCATCTTGTCACTGGTATGTCCCCATATTCCTACAGATGCCTACCCTTCGTCCGTAAAGCACGTTTTATAGACCGAGGAATCGTTCAGCTTCGCACAATTATTCGGAACCATGTTGACTCACCATCAACTCGGTGCCATCGAGGAAGATGTCACAGTAGGGCCATTGGCCACTCCAACCTGAGGTGTCACTGGCGGCGCGTCTGCCTGCTTCTGTTCCGCAGACTGTGCCAGCGCCTGCTCCATCTTCCGATAGTCCATCCTCAACTTCTCCAGCTCCTCCCTCAGCCGCCTGTTTTCCTCCTGGAGCTCCGGCTCGAGCGCCGCGCGCCTCCGCACCTCGTCGTCCGTGCGATTGTCGCGCGCAGCGAGCACTTCCGCGACATGCCGCCATTTCTCCGCTTCCGCCTCGAGAAGGGCGATGCGCGCCTCGTACGTGCCACGCACCATGCGCAGCCCATCCTTCACTTGGCCCTCGGCGAGCGCGAGCCGCTCGTGCAGGTCGTTGTTCTCTTTGGTGACGGCGCTCGCGTGCGCGGAAGCTTTGCTGTAGAGGTCGCGGAAAAGCTCACGATCTTTCTCTGCGTCCAGCTTCTTCCGCTGCAGTTCTTCGCTTACGAGCCGCAGCTGCTCCATGGTGGGCTGCAGGTCAGTAGAGGAGTCGTCGTCTGCCATTTGACAGCAGCAGCGATGAAGCCAAGGTTTGTGTTACAATTCCAGGTGTTGTATGATCGACTATGCGGCGAGCGCAGAGTTGTACGAGAGATGACTTTCATGCGATAAGGCCTTTGTGGTCGTCGTCAATCGAAGAGAAAGTGCGGTAAAGCACATACTGAATTTTTAATGGTGAGTCACAGTGGTGAGGAAGGAGCAGGAGCAAGACGTCGACGTTGGTAGCAGAGTCATAGTACTAGCCGGACGCTGCTGGTAAAGGAAATGTGTAGACGCCCTGGACTCACCCCGCCACCATATTGTACCTCGAGGCTCGAGCGGTGCATGTCGCTGTTGCAACGATGCCGACGAAGAATATATGCTGATTTGCGAGATGAACGGGATATCACGGCATCACGATGCGTAATCGGCGTGGTCCGCGATTGGCCATGAACGTTCTGCAAGGTCTAGTGCGAGCCGACGCCCTGGCAAGATCAACCTTTGTGGGAGCAATCATCCTCACAAGTCTAGAGACGAAGCAAGGATTGTAAGCTCCATGACGTTCTCCCTTATGCAAATCCATGTTCCAGCTAGCGCAATCGAGGTTCATTGGTAAGCTCTTACCCACAGAGGACAGTCATCGCGCATATATATAACCTCAGCGCGCTTTTCAGCAGTCCGACCGTCCAGAAGGCCCAGTGAATGTCATATCTCATGTCGACCAGACTCAGCCGTGCTCAATACACCGTTGCCATCGTCGGTGCGACGGGGAACCTAGGTCCGAACCTCTCCTCCTATTTCGAAACGACTATCATATTCTAACAGCACCACCCATGCAGGCAAGGAGATATCCAACATCTTCCTCAGCTCTTACAAACCCTTCTTCCCCCGCGTCATCGCGGTCCTACGGGACACCACCAAGCCAGAAGCGAAAGCGCTTACCGAGCGGGGAGCAGAGCTCCGGCAGGTCGACTCGGCGAATGCTGTGGCGTCGTTCACGCGCGCTTTCGAAGGCGTCGACATAGTCATCAATGCTGTCGGCGCGAGCCCGCTCGAGTATAACAATGCGCTTTTCGAGGGTGCACTGAAGAGCGGGGTGAGAGTGTACTTCCCCTCTGAATATGGCTCGTAAGTGCTCTCCAGCCGTTTTTGCGCATGCACTAGAAGCATAGGATCGTGCAGTGACTACCGCATCAATGACTTCCCCGGGTGGGACTTCACACTGTGGCTGGCGAAGGCCGAGCATGTGCGCAAGGCGCGGCAGCTCGCGCAAGGCAAAGTCAAGATTATTGCTGTCTATCCCGGTCTTTTCCTCGAAGGCGCTCTGGGTGTATGTGCACTCCTCTGCTTTCTGTATTTTTGAGCCTAGCTTGATGATGATGTTCTTCCGCAGCCATGGTGTACGTATCGCTCCCGCAACACGCAGTTTGTGAAACGTGCTAATCCTCGGTCCAGTCGGTTTCGACACCGCTAACCTGACCTACACCTGCGTCGGCTCGCCAGACAAAAAGACTGCGCTCACGTCCAAGGCAGACGTTGGACGCGCGCTCGCCGAATTCTCTCTCCTCGCGCTCTCCCCCGACTACTCCGCGCGCGTCCCCGACGACGCGCACATCGCGGGCGGGAACGCGAGCTACCGGGAGATCCGCGACATCGTGCAGCGCGTAAGGGAAGAGCTCGGCGTGCAGCCTAAGGGCGAGATCGTGATCAAGTCGCAGGACTATGAGACTTTCAGGGCGAAGGTGCGCGAGGAGGAGATCAAGAGCCCTGCACCGGGCCCGCTCAGACATATCATGTGCGTATGACGAACCCTCTCTTATTGTGGAGATTGTTGACGAAACCCGTTGCTGCAGGTTGCTCATCGCAGAGGGCAAAATGGACTTTTCGGAGAACGATGACGAGCTCATTAATCCAGACGAGAGTATATGGAAGTGGAAAACGGTGGAGGATTATGTCCGTGAGGTGGGCGGTCGTCCGTTCAGTTGAAGGAAACGAATCGAGAAGCTGTCCGAGAATTGTACGGTATGAGTAATTGAATCCATGAAATGTCTCGTTCAGATGCGCGACGAATAACGAGCTTTGGAGCACGTCCCCAGAAAAAGGGGTTATTTCCCGAGTCGTGATGTTCAGTAGAAATCCAACATGTTGCCATCTCAGCCGTCCACTTTGGCCTGTGCCCGAACGCTGGTGCATTCATTGATATACAGAGGTGATGGTACGACATTACGCCCGTAATGTTGAAGAGTGAACGTTAAGAATAGTATGTGGACCAAAGAACTCTGACTGTCCTATTTCGCCGCTTCACTTTTAGGTCCGCTATTCGTTCTTTCCCATCGTTTAATGCAATTCCATAATATAGCTCAATCTCAGTTTGGACGCCATCCAGAGCATTTGAGACATCGGCAAACCACTTGTTCGAATTCTTGGAGGGATGTGGAGGTAGTATTTTCTAGCCGAATCCGCCTCGATCGCGCATTCGACGAAGAACGTACTTTAAAGGGATGACGCTACGGCTTTCCACTGCAGATTGAGCCTGAAACAAATAGGCGGCATTTTCGTAAGACGGAGTCTGTGAAGCGAGATACAAGAAACTTCGCTCCAATAGCCAACCTGACGCGCACATCGAGCTTGAGAAGATAGCGACGATGCGCAAGCGTATCATAATCGTCCCGTGGTTTGTACGCTTGCTTTGCCGTGTTCCAGAGGTGTGGTGAGAAGTTGGGCGGCACTGCAGGCATTGTCACAAAGACATCTTCGAGGGCTGTTCAAATTGACTTTGCAGTGCCTCTAGCAACAATGCGGACGATAGAGACTAGTTTCAGGCATGATTTCCACTGCTCTGGCCCTCCTTGAATAACATCATCATGATTTGAGCTGCAAGCGGATAGATTTATCGCAAAATGAGCGCAGATTGTGCAGTAGACGAGTTTTTAACACATGATCATTGTTGAGCTCATTGCGCTCATTCATGGCAATGATTATAGACCCGTCAGACCTACCAGTTGGCAGTAACAGCTATGGCCATTGGCTTCGCTGTTTTCAGAAACACGCACTCGCACGCTACTTATCCCCTTTACCCTTCAGCGCAAGCACGGATCTCCAGCTCCTAGCTTTGGTATTCACCTGAAGACATGACGTTGATGCTCGCAGCCACAAACACTGGCACGCCACCGCACTAGGGTCATCTTTGGCTGAGCTCTGGTCTCTGGCATATCGCGTATTCAAGGATAGCACCTCCTCAGCTGCCTCCTCCTGAGCAGGAGGCTGTCCTCCTGCCAGGCTGGATGGACGCCAGACCGGGGTTGTTCAACATCGAGCGCAAATGTACAGAGCACGGGCCTGGGTTCACGGAGTTGAACTCTGATCCGGATCCGCTCCTCAAAAATTAGAGGGACCGCATCCACGAGGACGTCATTCCGGGCAGTTCCAGAATACAACATGCGAGAGGACCGCAGCACATGCTGCAACCCACGACTCCGCAGTCCGCACCCAAACCTTAAGCGTGCAGCACACCAAGCTCTCGTCCCTGTCCCTTGTACCGCGAGGTAATTGAGCGTGATGACTGCGTTCGCACTTTCTGCACTTGTGGCTGCTGCCGCCGTCCTCACCGACGTGCGCGCACAGACGACGACATCGATCGAGCCGCTTGTGGACCACACCTATCCCTACTCTGATGTGGTGAGTATTTCTAAACATCTACGGGAAATGACGCGCTAAGGCCGAGTGACAGCCGTACCAAGTGGAGCCCACCGGAGACGAGCGCGGAAGTCAAGTCGGGTACAACATCTGCAACTCGACGACGCAGAACCAGGACTCGTACTGCCAGACGCTGATCGTCAACGAAATTGACGGTGAGCCTCATCAGCTTTACTATATATGCATTAGCCGTTGAATGCCGAGCGCCACGCAGACTTTTGCATCTATTCGTCACCCGACACGAATGACACTATCGGGGACTCCGAGTCTTATGAGGTCGCCTGGTGCACGTCCGACACGCATGGCACGCGGCTCATCCCCGAGGGCGCGCTGAAGGGCGTGCAGTACATCTATACGGCGAACTACATCCAGATCATCGGCTATATTGACCAGACGCAGGTGAATCTCCAGGCGGACGATGCGGGAGGAGAACTCGATCCTCATGGCTCCGACTTGGTCAGTGGGAATGCGTAGTCGGTGCCTTGTGCAATTTTTGCTGATATTGTGTGCTGCAGCTCGGTAACCCCATGGGCGCCATCGTCTATTCCAACCAATACCCGCGTAACAACACGGATAACAGTACCTACACCCAGATCATCGAATGGACTGAGTACGTCCCCCTTGCCCGCATCCCTGCTGTTCATACACGCACTCACACATGCGCAGGTTCATCGGAAACGACATGTTCTGCCTCAAGATCTGCAACCCGGCCAACACGAGCGCAGACAACGTCGGCTGGTGCAATAACATCTACGACGAGATCGGCATCTCGTACAACTGCCCAAACGCCGCGCAGAACGGCACCTTTGAGGTCTGCGACGGCGACTCGATGACTCCCGTCGGCGTGTACACCTCCGACGGACAGACGTACACCTGGACGCAGCCCTACACGGGCGAGCTCACCATCCCGTACACCCCGACCATCCCCGCGTCGTCCAACTGCCGCACGTTCGCGTCGACGGATTTGTACACCGCCAAGGTCTCTACGACAGCGTCATTAGGCGCGTCGTCTGCGACCGCTGTGAGCTCGGGTGCGAGCGGGGATGCATCGAGTGGGGCTACTTCGGCTTCGAGCGGGGCTTCACGTACTGGCACGTCGGGCAGCGCATCGTCGACTTCTACCGGTACAACGAGCAGTGCTGGTGCTGTGCGCATGTCGGCACTGGCGACATTTGCTGGTGTGGCATTCATGGTTGCTTTCCTCGCATAAGGACATACGTGCAACTAATGCATTGATTCGGACGTTCTCGCTCTTCATGCCTTGACTTAATGTGCTATGTAATGAAAAAGATGATGCTCTCAAGAACATCTATAGTCGGGTATTGTTGTCCAGGATCGCTTGATAACTCGCCTTGGGACTTAACGATGGATTGCAGGGTGCATGGCCTGTTTTGTTTATGAGAATATTTTAAACATGATTGTGAGGAGAATCACAGTTTGCTCATGTTTTTGTCGATGACAATTTCTAAAATTATTTTAACCCTTGTCAAATGAAATATGCAGGAGAGGTTTTTGATCAGAATTAACATAATATATTGAGTTTGGTGTCAAGCAATGAATAGGAGCTTGTTCACAATTGACAGTTGCATACATTTATTGCTTGACATTATCTTCACCAAACTCAATACTTATTTTAATTTTGATCAAAAACCCCTGCTGCACATTTTAGTTGATAAGGATTAAAATATGTTTAACAAAACAAGCTGTGCACCCTGTGTTGCTTTCTTGATGCACGTACTGAAATGTTAATGCCTTTCATACCTTACACGAGAAAAATGATCACCCTGTCACGCCTTCATAATCACCCCAGACATGGAGCTCTTTTTCGATGTGTAATATGTGGGGAAAATGTGAACTAGTATTTTGATTATTGGTCGATTCTTTGCGAAAATGACATTACAGTTTACATATTAGGCATCTGCAATTGGAAATGAAACTGCGGCATATGCCAAACCATATTCTTGGGGCTATATTGTATTCATTTTTGTAAACTTTGCGAATACAATATGTTCCCATTATGTTTTGATGTTATGAATGTTGAAAATGCGACGGAGAATTAAATCGTCACAGATATTGAATGGCTGATCGATGTTGCGCATCTTAGAATATCTAACAGGTAAACAAGTTCATAGCAAATTTCAAGACCAAAGGAAGTACGGTACCAGTACATCGTATGCGATGCGAAACCTGTACGCTACTTGACCGTGATGGAACGACGTCAAGATTGCTCACGTCTATCTCATGGCAGATTTCAAATCGGCGGGCAACAGTATATGACGACAGGAGATGGGGAACTCTCTTCAACAAGACAAGGTGACTTAACTTTGGTTCACTGGGGACCATCTGATGCCTCCGCCGAAGTGAACTTCCAGCTCAGATCCTTCCCACCAGAATACATCCAGAAATCGGATAGAGTAGCACATGCAGCGCAAAGGCGTGCCATTTCCTCTGTCCGGTCAACGGCAGCGTCCTCCCACAGCTGCAGGGATGACAGAGCAGGGAATTGCCGCAACCAACGGGGTAGGTAGTTCTATATTGCAACCCTTTCAGTGATCCGACTCTGCCAATACTGGTACCGCAGCAACTAACTTACCAGGAGTGTCATACTGAATGAATCCTGTCGGTTCTCCCTTGACGCTTGTTCCAGAACGATGCACTTTATCTGAGGAAATAGAGCATCCAATATCTGAAGGCCAAAGCCACCGCTCACAGTCTCATCAACATCTGCTGCAAATAAAGGAGGCAAGGTGCAATTGAGCCACCATAGGTCCTGAAGCTCGGAGACAAGCACGAGCACTTTGGAGAAGTTGCAAACGAACTCGGCGGTATTGTCGCAATCGAAATCAGGAAGGATGGTCAACCTCTCCAAGGTAGTGATCCTCATTCGCTCGTCGCCCAATAAACGGGGGAGATACGTGAGCGGTGCTGCGAGGACCCGCAAATGAGGTAACTCTGGAGGCGGAGATCGTCGACGGGCTGCACCGCCACAATCCGAATGGTACCCAATATGAAGTTCCCGCATTCCGCCATGGCGTCGTAAGAATCGATCGAGGGCAATCTGAGTAAGTTCACCCTCGATGCGTAGGATATGGAGGGAAGGGATCACGAGACGCTCAAGAATGTGAGACCAGGGTGGGGATGCAAGACCGGGCGTAATCAGGCTTAACTCGCCAATGGTTGACGAATTGATCATCGTCAGTGTCCATTGACACAGAGAGGAATCGAACAGCATGGCCGCCTGAGGCTGAAAAGTCTCCAGGGAAGGGAAAGAGGAGATCTGCGTGCAAGAAATGGGCTTGGATGGTAAGGCGGGGCGGCAAATCTTGTTACTTCTATGCCATAGCGTGATGTCCGAAACACAGCTATGTCGCAACGTTTCCAACAAGTTTATCAACTGACCACCTGGAGATGCGTTGAAGACGAGCTTCACGGTCCGCAACGGAGAAGTAGGCTCTAGAGACGAGAAGAAGTGGCCCAACTGGACGTACTCGGACAAATTGTCCGAGTTAATGGTGACACGGATTGTCCGCGGGCATTGGAATAGCAGTGTATGTCGCCAAAAAGAAAGAGTCGCCACGGCATCCTCTCTGAGGAGAACGATAGCTTTGTTTTCTCCGGAAATACGTAGGCCGTGTCGACGAAGATATATAGGAACCGCAATATAGTGCAGACGACGAGAGAGGATGCTCATATGCACGACGTCGCTGTCGGGCAGCAACTCGGCTATTGCGATGACGAGCTCATTGGGAACACTGCATAGAGCATCTTGATCCGTTTGGATCACTGCGACAGAACGTGACTGCGGGACGGAATCAGGATGAGTCGAACAGTGCGACCTGATGGCACCTACGACAGAAGGTGCATCTTGATCGGTTTCGATGGCTGCAACGGAAGATGACTCCTGCAGGGACAATGAGAACGTATCAAACAGCATAGATCAACGGTACCTACAGCTGTGAAGAACTCTTCAACTGTCAAATCACCGTCAGGCGCAGTCAATTCCATGGCCAAACCCACTCGCTAAATGCATGTGAGCATAAGTCCGAACAATGAGCTCATAAACATACCATTTTCTTTGCAGGGACAGCATCGTGACTATCGATGGCTTTGCGCTTCCTTGATGCGCAGCAGAACAGAACACTGAGCAACAGAACACTCAGCACGGTGCCCATGACTGCAACTCGCCCGAATCAGTGAACTGTTGATGACTGCTAAGGTCCCTTGAGCAATCATATTTATATATCGTGAGACAGTTCCCTTTCCACGGTGCCAGTGCGGCAAGAAAGCAAGACATACGCGTGAAAATAGTGCCATGAAGATAGAGAGCTGGTGGTAGACGGTCCGAGTCCAAGTCCTAATACAGCTACGCCGCATGCGAAAAGTTTCACTAGCCTTGCTACGAGACGAAGTGACTTGTGACGATGGGATGGAACGGAACGACGGACAATAGACATGAGAGAGGGCTGAGCAGAAGTGCAGGCACGACGAGTAGCCGGACCTGACGGCGGTGAAAACTGTGGGCGTGAACAATTAGTGTCGACGATGCGAGGATAGCGGTCAGCCTACCTCACGGCGAGCGTACGCGATGAGCGGAGACGAGGAGCTGCTACTCTGAATCACCGGAGATGCAAGCGAGGGACAATGGGCGTAGATAGCGATGCGTGTTGGCGATCCGGAAGGCTTGGAGGGCCGGGCTGCGGTGCTCAGTGTTCAAGTTGTTTTCGGGAAAGGATGGACGGACGTACTCGTGCCTGTAAACCCCCTCACGGCTGACTTGTGCGGCGAGTCCTGGCTGTGTCGGGGCTCATGAGCATTGTATAGCGAGTGGCGTCGGTGATTGCAGTGCTCGCTGCCTTCTCGCTCGTTGGAGGGACGGCGGACGACGTCTGCGTGTCGTACGGCGTGTGGCTGTCTCCGGACGTTGATCGTGCTCGCTGTCTCGCTCGTTTGAG